ACGATCCTGTCGATCTATCAGTTCGCTGTTCGCAGCCTGACAGATCTGACTCGAGGAATCTTCAAGAGCACTAAACCTGGACACGTCTTTCCTGCAACCTCTGCCCTCGTTCCTTCCACAATAGACGTCCAAACTGGAGAACATCTTCGCTGTTCTTTCGACGTCCACGATGGAGGAGGAAGGCTTCCTCGGTGGTAACTGAGGTGGTGAATTCAGGGACGAATCATTGAGCGTGGTTAACAATCCAGAAGCGCTGCTGCTGCACCTGTCGTCGAGCAAAGAGCTGGTGGCAGAGTCATTGTCCAGGATGCCGGAATCGTTGTCATCCTGATCCTGTTCCTCGTAAAGAGGATTCGTTCTGAGCTCCTCGAGACCGGGCAAAGTGCCGTACGAGAAACTCCTCAGTCTTCTTCTTTCCTTGTCCTTGCCCTCCTTCTTGTAGATCTTGGCTATTAACTTACTGGTGGAACTTTTCAGATACCTGTCCTGCATTGCTCGAAACTTGGCGGCCAAACAGCTCGATGGTGTTATGCTATCAAATTGGGAGCCATCTTTGAATGTTGCATCCTCGGTGCTGGTAGAACCTTCTAGAACATGATCCATGGATCGTCTCGGTGCCTGATGATCTTGAACAAACTCTCTACTCTTCCGCCACCTGCGATTCTGTTGAATAACGCTTTCCTCGATTATGTCATGGGACAAAGTTGTCATCTTCTGGCCAACGGATGGTCGAAGACCCAAGAACGAGGAGCGATCCTCTTGCTGCTTTCGATGAGGTAATCTGCTCTGCGATTTCGACCGCCTTTTCCTCTTTGCCTGAGTTTTCTCCTCCTCGATGATCTCTTTCAAATCTGATTCACAGACCGATCTACGAAATTCGTTTCTGGTCAGGCCATGCTGGTTCAATTCGCACATGGAACGGAATTGCAGCTTCTCCGGGTCTTCGTCTTCCTCTTGATCCTCGTCGTCCGAATCTCGATCCTTGAAGAAGCTCAACCTGGTATTTTTCACGCGGTCCAGCAAAGGGTTCCGTTTCTCGCAGACTCTCCGCCTCTCTTTCTGGATTCTTTTCTTGTTCTTCTTGGTGGGACTCCGCTCGGTGGTCACCTGCGACGTCTGCACGTTGTAGCAGTTCCGCTCCGACTCGGAGCTCGACGACTTCCGGCGAGCCCATCGTACCGGAGACAAGTCTGTGAAGGTACGAAATATGATTTAATACACATTTTCCTTAAAATTGGTACGAATTTTTTTTTTTTTGTTTAAAAGTATTATTTTTATTAGATAAGAATTATTTTGAATAATAAAAATTACAAAAAATTGAAGTAAGGAATTAAATTATTAAAAATTTAATCAAGATTAAAAATGAATATATAAACATTTAGAGTTAAAAGTTTGTTTGTTTGTATTTTTATTTTTATTTTATATGACAGTAGCGCATGACAGGTAGTTTTTAAAAACAATAGTGATACTGGAAAAAAATTAATGACTTGTAAATTTAATTTTAATTTTAATTATATTGTGAGAGAAGTAATTGTGTAGTTGTAAATTACAAAGTAAATAGATTATATTATAAATAGATTTTTTTTATTTCAAAAGCTTTGTCAAGGTAAAGAATTGAGAATTCTTTGCACATCTCTTTGCTATATTCATAATGCCCATTGAAATGTTTGTCAATGCTATTTACACCTCTATTTCATCACTACTAGACTGTCTTTCCTTTGAAACTTCTGATTTTAAGACTTTGCACAATGAATGTAAAACGAATATTTGTGACTGACACATCAAATGAATAATTAGACATAACATGACACGTTTACTGAATGACTGGAAGACTGTAAAAATAATTAATCATAATTTTGTATTGAATCTATTTGAACATTTCAACATTCAATATTCAATAGAAACCTATTTTATTTGAGATTTACATACAGCAGTTTTTTAAATGTTCTATTATACATAAAATTTCAGTTAAAAGTAATAAAATATTATGATAGGATAAAATTGATTTTTGAGAATTGTTTTGTTTCTTTTCAAGTAATAATTTAATTCAAATAATAATATATAAGAGAAAGACTGATACATAAATACATAAATAAATCGTGTATTTAATTTCAATTTGTTACTACTAATAAATTTATATTCTGATGTAGCATCAATCGATAATTATTCTTCAATCATCACGTTCAATGTTTCAAATTTATAGCGACAAACTGTTCAAAAAACATCGTAATATTTCACAAAATCACCGTCAAGAATTACAATCCACCATTATCACTGATAACAAAAATCACTTTTAATCACGTTCAATAAATCACTACCTTTTAAAAAAGAAAACCAGTTATAATTACAAAAAAAATTCGCTTTCAACAATACGTTTAATTATAATTTAACGCAAATCACAAATTTGAAAGATCGATAAACGTCGATGATGACGAAAAAAAAAAAAAATGTTCACTAAAATCGAAAATTCGAATTCTAATCAAACACAATTAACGCGAATTACATTTTAAAAATTGATGGATATCGACCATTGTCTTCGAGTCGTTCGCGTACAACGTTCTGTCGTACCAAACGTTGTTAGTCATCCTTCCAAGGAAACGATCGACGAATGCGAAACGCGTGTGTACAAGTCGAAACTTCGTTTAACAGTGACAGCCGCGACGAAAATGATCGCCTTCCTCGAACCGTGACGGTATACGAGTTTGAGCGGAGAGGCTCAAGACGGAATCGTGCAGGATGCGTGGAAGACAGGACATCCCGTATGAGCAATTCACGCGAGCGCTTTGCTCTCGAGTGATAGTAAAAAAATAGTCGCACGAAACGGAGGAAACTGGGAGTGGAATTAGAGAGAATCGGAAGTGGCGTTCTGTGCGAATGTTTCCAGGTAATAATAATTTAGAATAATCGAATTTGGAATTTGAGAGAATAATAAAATTCAAAATTTCGCATGTTTTAAAAGATTTGTGTATCGAAGTTGATTAAAATTGAATATAATTGGATATAATTGGGTAAGAATTATCTATTAGAATATTATTTCAATATTATCTCCTAAAAAGATAGGTTATCGCTTCATAGATTAATTATCACGTCATATTTCATAAAGTTTTTCTTCGATATAAATATTCGTATTATTTCCTGGAAGATAAGTTATAACTTCACAGATTTATTATTATTATTATGTACATTTCGCAAAGTGTTTTGTAAGTTTCATTTTACAATGTTTCTTCGATAATTTATATTTTACTATTTCTTAAAAGGTGATTTATCAGTTTGTTATTATACAGAATTTCAATTTAAAAGATAATAGAGGAAGTAACGTTTTAATAAAATCATGGCGCGTCATTCTTCCTTTTATGCCAGTTGGTCGTGTTACATTTACCGCAAAATTGATCCCTACTTTCTTTAGTTGTGAAACGTTTTCTTCAATCCCCTTCGGAACGATCCAAAGGTCTATTTGCCGTGCAATTCTTAGCTCGACTCTCTATCATTATCGTCGATACTCGAGGAATATAGATATCGCGTGTAACACATTTCCTGCAATTCGCTAAATCTATTCTGACATTTCTAACGGCAAAAATTTCGATCATTTGTGCAATTATTTTATAAGTTTAACTTGTAAAACTTTGCGAAATATAACAATAATTAATATTGCGAAGCGGTAAGTTGTTTTTTAGAAAATGATAATATATGAAAATTATTGAAGATAACGTGTGATGATTCCTAACATTTTATGATAATGTTAATTGCTTTATTGTAAGTATTTAACAGAATTTTATTTTGACGTATAAAAAATTTAAAGAAGATATTAATGGAAATGAGGAAAAGTATGATATTCTTTAATTAAATAGGGAAAAGTAGTACAAATACATTTTTTAAAGATAAATACGGGAAAAATGTATAACATGCATATTTATCTGAAGCATCTTTTATTTATAAATATACGTGTAATACTTAATGTTTATTTGTGCAGATGCAATATAATTAAAATCTCATATTCATTTCTTTACTTTTTCTCACATTTTTCATATTTATGAAAACACACCTTTTATAATTCTTTCTTCATGTAATAAATTATATTTAACGAAAAAAATTATGAAGATATTCGAAACACAGAAATTTGGTTATTTTATCAATAATATTAAATCAATAATAGAATTGCCGTAGTTCTACATTACAAAAAAATATTAAATTATTTTGATGAAACATAATTATAAAAATGAAGCTAGTTAAATAGATATAGAGAATAAGAGATACAAAGATTAAAGAAATAACCATAACAATCTTCCGTGAAGATATTTCAGTTTCACGATACTTTGTACAAAAGTAAATAAGGATCAAAGAAACACGCCTCTTCGAATTTTATATTGCACAACTGAAGAGTGTAACTTGATGCCGCAGAATTTTTCCAACCTTTCCCTCAAACAGTGATTTAAATAATTCGCAATTTTCCCGCCCGCAAACGACGCACCATTGCGAAATCTTTAACCACCGGTCGTTTTTGCCGTGAAGAAACCCGTTAATGTCCACGTAACGTTGCAAACTTGATGTTGGCCACTAATGCCAACTACCTTTTCGTCCAGAATGCGAGCTGACTTCGCGAAATGCAACTGTTTCGTTTCGTAGATCGAAAGAAAAAGTTTACGTGTACGTAGAAATTCTTGCTGCGACACCAAATAAAGAAAACGAAATATTCTGATTACAAAACGTAATTAGAGATACACGTGTAAAAATTCATTCGTTTCAAATCCTCTATACTTGAATATCTTTTAAATAAAACAAACTTGTGCGCGAATCAATTTTCTTTTTGATATTTTTATTTTACCAACAAGGAATGATTACAATTCATTTGTGTTAAATTTTAATACTTTGCTTATCTAGGTAATTTTGTATTATTGTAAAATAAATTTTATTTCGTATGAAATATACTTATTTAATGTTTGATTTTTATTAACGACTTGAATTATTATCGTCATAACATAAGATGAATACAATCGTGTATTACACGTTTTAATTTTATCTTTCTATTTTCTTTCAGCCGGATTAAAACTGACGTCATTAATTCAGTTCCACGATTAAAAAAATTAGAACGATTTATGAAATATCTATAAAAATAGTGACAGATTCACATATATATCGTGCTAAAAACCACAATGATGTTATCTCAGTGTTCATAGAGCGACTAACACTGCGGTTTCCTGTGAGGGTATTCTTTTGTCGGCTATGTAAATATTCACTGAGATTACACACACAGTTTTACCCAAAGGGACGTATCTGCTAATCCAATTATTATTTTATGATATCGTCATATCACCGATTGCATTGATAACGCGAAATTATATTTCAGAATTCGTTAAACATTACGTGATTCTGTGCGAATAATGTTTGTTTGAAGAATTCAATAAATTGATTGGCAAACAGAAAATATTAAAATATTTGAAATTTCTGATGTGTAATTTTACGATGGGCTGGAACGAGACGAGGTAAAAAATAGATGTTACACAGGAATTCTTGCGGAAATGAAATAAATGATCAAAGATTTGCAAAACATGTTTTCGTACGGTTGAAATCCTAAGAATTGTGAAATCGATTCTCAAAATTATTACGAATTTTTAAATTTATATGCGATGAATCACATACAATATTTTGCTTCATCGTGTAAATAGCTTTAATTGAAACGTCAGATATTTGCGTTAACAGAGATAATATTGGAATGCAGCTTGTTTGCATATCGTTGGTTTTGTCTGGGAAGAAAAAAACTGATGAGAAATTTTTGAAGAAAAAATGGAATAATTTAAACAATAATTCGAAACGAATTGAACAAAACAGGAAACGTATCACGATACATGCAAAATTGAAGTAAAGACACAGATACAGCAAATTTTTATATAACAAAACAATATTATCTGGAATTTAATAGTAAAAATAAATGTCATTGATAAAATAAAATATCATTATTCTCTGTCAGATGAATTCCATATTCATGGCAATAATAAATTTTAAATTATCTCTTCTATTCTAGATAAAATCAATCTTATCTACTTGTTATATCAAGTTAAACATAAACTATAAATGAAATATTTATACATATATTAAAAATTAATATATAATATTAACTTATTATAATATAATTGTCGATAACTAAAGTTTCAAGTAATTTCAAGTAGCCAACAGCTTCGAAAGAATCGTACAATACAATCAGCATACTGTTACTCTTCTCACATATTTTAACAAAGTATCGGCTTATTAAGCGTATTAACATGTTTTCCAATACGTGCAACACGCGTTTAACACGTGTTGCTGAGTTCATCATGACGAACGAGGTAAATCTCTCCTGTTTCGTGGCCTAACGTAGGCTGGGTTCGAATAAAAAGAGACTCTCACGAAGCTAACGAGGCTATGCAAAGTTTCTTCACTTTCGAAAGAGGCTTTAATGAAACGACGCACGAAAAACGGGCATCGACTCGGAGAAACTTTTGCGTTTTCGAAAAGAACCGACTCGAAACGCGGAGATTATTAATCCATTAAGGATGGAGTGGTGAAATATTTACGCGTGTAATTATTCATCATTTATCAAGGTATGTATACATAAATATGAATACTGTTAAATAAATTTTTTATTTAAGTAATTGATGACCTGATTTCTTTATTTCTAGGATGATTCTAATGCATTCGAATGTGAATAAATATTAATTGTATTAATCGACGATACGTAAATATTCATAAGATAAGATAGAGGCATAGAAAACATTTCCATGATTTAATGAAATTTTGTAACATTGTTGATTGAAAGATGAAATACCAAACCAAAAATTCTTGGAATTATGATATAAGCCTCGATACTTTCGAGATTGAAAGAGAAAAAAATTTCTTCTTATTAATTGTTTATTCCAATAGAATTATATTTTGTGAAAAAGATATATTGTATCAAAATTTCTAGATCTATTTTTTTTAATGAAAACAAAATGACGGAGATGATACGAATTTTCGTAGGAACAAGCATATGTGAAACAATGCGACTTTTCTTTTTTTTTTTTTTTTTTTGTCACGAGTATTTGTGGATGCAATCTCGAGTAATAATCACGCCCAAGATGAAATCTCGATGGTACAGACATAATCTGCGTCCAATCTGCCAATACTGTTAGCTAATAACACGACATTAGTCGGTGAATATTGCAGCAACGTCGAAAGGAGATGGTATAAATTCCAAATGAGTAATTTCGAGGCGTATTGGCGTTTTAGCCAATTCATTGGAATCGAATTGAATCATCGAAGGAATGTAAAAACATAATTTGAATCGTGTGTTGAATATAATTGTACAAACGTAATTTAAGGATCTAATTACAAACATTTCGCGTGAAAATCTCGTGGTTGAGGATATCCTGTTTATTGGGCAACAATATTATTTTCATGCGAATATTGTTTGGATAGAGAATACTTGTTGAAATTGTATCTTAAGACTCGATTACAAGAAATTACAAATTACGTGATATTGAATCTTGGCATTCCTTAATCTATTTCATCTTTAATTTTAGAATTTTGAATGTACTTGAAGTTTATATTCGATAAATGTATACCAGTGCCAGTATGTATGCATGGGTTGAAAGTTACATTCGATTTCAAGATGGCTAATTAACGTTAGAATGATCGTAATTTGGATTATGAAAGTTCACGTTGCATCCTGGTGTAAGCAGTGAGATAATTGTATCGGTGTTTTCTCACGATTCTTACCTCTGTACTGAGACGCGGCATGAAAGTGGTAAGATGCTCCGTCAAGGTCTTCGTCAGCTTGAAGAGGACTTAGGCTCAAAAGTTTTGGCGCCTCGGCGTGGCCACGAAACCAACGCATTTCTGGAATAGCATTAATAATAATGATAATTAAACCTCTCATATATAAATATTTTTATCGAATGGAGCAAAATTATTCTTATTTCTTCTATTGCCTTTATCCAATACGTTAATTATATTGCATATATATATGTATATTGCAGAATATCGAAAGATTGCAAAGTAACGATCGATCGGCATAATAATAATTTATAAATGTGAAACGGGTTACACTTGCGGTGAATGGATTTCGCGTGAACGAATGGCGACAGTTTCCGCCGTGTTCGCTGAACCGAGGCCCTTCCTTTCTATCTCGCGATTGCACTTGTTATTGATACTGAATATTGTAGTAAAAAAAAAAGGAAAAAAAAAAAAAGGACTTGATGAACGAGCAGCCTTGGCAAAGAATGGAGGATGTGATAAATTACGAGGCTATCGTTGTATCGACTCATTGCTACGTTTGATTCAAAGTGCGTCGATCACATCGACGACGTAGATTACACGTAGATATTTCGAAAAAATCATACATTTGAAAAATTCACGTTTCTTTCTTTTTTATTTTGATCTATTGAATTATTCATTGACTAAGATTCATCGATATACAGGTAAGAGGTAATAAAAAAAGAAGAGGATTAATTAAATTAATTATTTAAAACAATTAAATAATTCTTTATTGTAATAATATAAAATTTGTACAAATAAATCACATTCTCATTTATTGTTCACGTTAATTTATGAAATTATATGACGTGTATTTACTACATATTATATAATTTTTTATTATATAACAGTTCAATTATATTTTCAATATTTCGTATCATTGGTTAAAAGTAATAATTTTTCTTGTATCAATCAAAAATTAATTAATAATTTCAATTTCTTTCCAGTCTCTTACTTTACAGAAATTTAACAAGTATCGATTACGTGATCGACAAATTGTATCCCTGCAAACCAGTGCCTCTTCTTGCGGGCATTAAAGTCTCCAACACTGTGGCGCTAGCATCGTTCGCTCCTTCTAAAGTAACATTACATTTCAAGGTAATTAATTAACATTACTGCAATTTTTCCACTACTACTCACAATAGATCTATTGAAAAAAAAAAATTAATTGAAAATCAGATCAAACTAAATGTAGTTTTACGTAATCTATCACAATTTATACTACCGTAATATTCTACAAATCTATTTCAAAAGAGTTCAATCCAGAAGAAATTAATCTCTCGGAAAGGAAAAAAGAGAAAAAGAAGAAAAAAAAAATAGCAAACTTCTCGAAGAAATTTGCTTCGTGTACTACTTACATAAGTACCGTTGCATAGCAACTGTCGATGATGAAGCTGTCCTCTTCCCTCTGGCAGGAATACATCGTTCGATCTATCGTGATTCTCTGTCAGACGGGATCCTCACGGAGGCGTTACCGTTCATCTGTTCCTCGTAGAGACCATAATTTAGCCACCTTGTACACTCGTCGAAACGAACCGGGGAACATAATAGCTTCTACGATAACGGTCCACGTGGAATCCTTCGTGGCGAATCTTAATTTTTCCGCGCGATAGACGCCTCGATGCGTAACGAGGGATTTCGAGCGCGATTATCTTGTCACCGATTGAAAACGAATTATTACGGAACTGTCTTACATTCGTTATCGATTGAATCGTCTCGTTTTTAGATATAGAAATATCGTTGGTGCGAGATAAAAATTCAATACGGTTTTCATGCGGTAAGAAAAATATATGCATTCGATCGAGTTGCATTTCGAAGAAGTGCATATTGATAATTAAGAAATATGCTATATAATATATGTTAATTGTTCTTCTGTCCGAGTGTAGATATTCCACTATTTCTATATACTTTTTGTTTCGAAACGAAACAACCCAAATGTTAATTGCCTGTCCTCTCAATTTCTCCAGATTTCCCGGCGAGCATGGAAATTTTGCGACGCGTATAATAATCCTGTTTCCACGAGGCGGCCGCATAACGAGATGATTAATACCGCGAAATCGAGTTATGCAAGGTGTTAATGCATCGATTATGTAGCCACCGAGGGAACCGTGGGAGAAAGAGACGAGGGGACGAGAGAGGCGACTTTCTCCGATGCAAATATGTGTGCCGTCTCCACGATGCTTCTTCACGTCTCAGCTTTTCACTTTTCATTCAGGCGACTGATGCCTATCAAAGAAGATGATCAAGATCGAGGATCAAGGGTTGGCCTCCCGTCGACAGGAAGTTCACGGTCAAGTGAACTCGACTCGAGAGTGCACGCTTTGTGACACTTGGTCGGTTTAGCGATCATCTACTCAGAAAAGTATGCGGAGGAGCGACAATCGTTGTAGTTAAAAACTGGAATCGTATTTTATTTCGAGTTTCTTGTATTGTTTCGACAGTTACGATTTTATGATATACCGTATGTATACAAAGATATTCTTTTTGAAAATATAAATTCCTTCGTGACGTTATGATATACTCAACCTGTCATACGAATCCCATCGAAATTTGAAATCGACTAATGCATTTTCTTAGAATTTCCAAGAATATCAGAAGAATATAGAATTTCTTAGTCGATTTCGAATTAATATAAATTAAAATAGCAGGGAATTTCGATGATTCTAAACTTTGGCACATAGTTTACGTGTGTTTTAACGTTGAATGAATTGCATGGTTAGATAGAAAAATAGTTTTTCTTTTTTTTTTTTTTTTTAGAATTATGTGGAACGCGAATTTTACGCTCCAATTCTTGGTTTCAATTCTACAAAGCGGAGAGACTTAAGTAGGTGCAGGTTTTACGTCTGGTTAAAGGAATCAAGGAGATTTTGTCTCGTTCTCATTTATTATTGATGGTCGAGCCTGGTCACGGGTAGATGATTCGAGGAACGATTGGAAAGTTAGAGAGAAGAACAATTTGCGATACAATTGTGTTTGAAAAATGATATAGAAACAGGTAGATTTTAATTATTCGATTACGGTCCGAAAAGAAACGAAGGAACTTTGTAATCTTTTTAAATCGCAAGAATATCTCCTTTTCTGTCTTGAGCAATCGACAATTGAAAAAAAGTAAATTATTAAGAAGAAGGACCAAACATTAATGTAATCATTTTAGTTTAATCGAACTTAAACAAAAATTATTCTATCTTCCATCCTCAACTTCGAAATTCCACCATCTTTCACTATTCAAATTTGTCACTCAATCCAAAAATTTCAACAATTTCAACAAGATGATTCAAAAAAAAACCACTCGTCCACTAATCTTGCCCACGAATAAGCGCACAAACAAGCCACTTATGCACGCGCCTGACGATAAATCCCACGTCACGGACCGCGAGTCGTTAAGGGTTTGAAGAATCTGGAAGCTCCAGTTACCCGTTCGCAGATTTATCGTTCCACTTTCGTGGCTGCCGATTCGTTTCAGCCTCCGGCGTTAAACGTCCCTTCGACGTTCCAGATTGTAAATCTTCGTTGCATCCGTTATCGAAAATCGGTAATACCAGCAGCCATTTAGCCACAGATTTCGCGATATTCGCGTGGTTAAACTTTGCCAATATGATGAGCCAAGCGATGATTGGCCGATTATACTCGACCTTTGGGGGGGAGACTTTAATTTTGCACCATTTTTATTTCTGGAACGTGTTTGTACGCGTGCGTTATACGCGCGTTGTTGTGTGAGTTTAAGATATTGGACGAGCATGATTTGCAATTCAATGGATGAAAGATGTGTAAGGTCGAGTGGAGCGGTGAAGGATTCGTTTATTTCTTCTTCTTCTTCTTCTATTATTTCGCTAATTTTTTATTGCTTCGTTTCGCGTGTAAATTTAGCTTTAGTTTTAATTTTAGTTTCCTTTTTATATATATATGTTATATAAGATAAGATTCTAATTTTTTAGAATAATATTATATGGAATTCGTTAGATTGGGTTGTTAGTTTATATAACTAATGATGTTTTTTTATTACTTTTGAAAAGTAATAATCAAAATTATGCAAGCGAGAGTTTCCCGGCAATCTTTGAATAGATGTCACATCCGTGTTACGTGTGCATCATGGAATAAATATTTATCACACACACGTTCACTCGAGTAGAGATATTGGAATACGATTGATAATGTTAAAAACGCAATGATAAAAAATATTATATCATTTTCTTTTTTTATTGTATAACACATGGTTATATATATATATAGCGTGATATTTCTATCAGATCTGAAGGGGAATTTTCGTTATACAGGGACAGGATAAATGTATGATACGGATGAGTCAAACGTGAAATCAATTTCACGATAATTTTCAACCGCGAAGCATTCTCTGTTGCAAAAACGCGAAATAGACAAGCTTGTCATAATGGAAGTGTGGTATACACGTATCTAAAACGCTCGAATCCATTAAGTAATTTATTCGTCGCGCTTTCACTGATCTTCCAAGTAATAAAATAAGGGAGATGGCGCGTAGGCAAGGATCGAACGGAAATAAAGTGTAACTGAAACGCGAAAAAAAATTGGAATCACTTTCTCAACGAGGCAAATTATCTCAGGGATTTTAAAACGATTGCGCAATTATTAAATATAAACTCGATGTATTGCTGTATCGTTTTTCCTGTTCTTATCTATTTGAATTACGTTGTGTTAATTATACGACCCTTGGATAAATTTAATTTGAGAAATTCTACGATTACATTCAAAATTATAGTATTTTCACTGTTGTACTTTTTTAAACTTGTGACATTTTTCTGAATGTTGCACGTTCAACAAAATTGAAGAAATATTCAGTTGGAATATTTGGAAATTAGAAATCTTTTAAACTAAACCATTTAATAATTTATTTAACACACAATTCAAATATATCTTTTCAGAAAAAGGTTTAAAGGTTTAAATTTTTTAATATTTAAATTATAATAATAATTCTTATATGAGAAATGTAATTCAAATACCAAACTATGAATAAAAAGTATAGATTACTTATATTAATTCTATATCATAAAAGAACAAGATTATAATTAATTTTTTATCAAGTATCGTATTACTTAAGAATGAAAAGAATTCGTCGATCGCTCTACATTCAAATTGAATCTCATTTTCACGATTGTTTCGACCTGATCGCAACGAGATCGGAGTCAAACGGTCTCTGAGTCATCGATAAACGTGGTCGATGAAAGTAGAAAGTATCCAAAGGGATCTGGGGGTGGTAGTATCGATCTGAAAAACTTTCCTCGGGCTAAGTGAATCGTACTACCGGGTAATTGGCCTCGATCTATCGATCTTACGATCGACTGGAACAACTAGAACTGCATTTTTATTAACCAGGTGTTTCGTGGACTTGTAACGCCAAGCGTTTTTCCTCTCCTTTCAAGAACGAATCGTTTGAGTAAGCGATATATAATTGCATTCTAAGAAATAGTTTTTGATAGGTAAGATTGATAGACTGATAGAAAATATTGGATGGAATCTTGCAAAATTTCAAATTTTGTTCAGAAAAATATTTTACGTGACATTTGTGTAGATTTTTTAGTAGATTAAGATATATTTGATTGGAAATTGTAATAATTGTAACGATACATTTTTATATGTAAAATGGGAGTTTGTGGAAAAGAATTTTGAACGAAAACTTTCTCCAAACTTTCATCGATTAGTGTGCACGATACGATCTATTTTTATTCTATTTCTTTCTGTCACAAGCATAAACTATTGTAAAACCTTCAATAAATCACAATTATGGAAACGATTGAACGATTCTCTTAATTATACTTCCTTATATTGTTCGAGATTGGTCATTATTTAGAGACAATCGACAAACTAAATTACACTTTTATACGTCGTAATTTAGCCGACGGCTATGTCTAACACATGTATCCATGGTTCCAAAGTGACCCACTTACTTTGCTACAGCATTCGTTGCACACACAATCGTTGGCACGAGATATAATTCGAGGTATATACGTTCGTGCGTCGCACAAGTTGCGTACAACTCGATTCTTTTGGGACGATCGTCTCGGGAATGTTGATCGTAAACTACTTTCACACCGAGAAGAATTCAACCGGCAATGGTTGCAGCCGGAAATTTGCAGTTGGAGGTTACAATGTATTTGCACGATCGATGTTATGAAGCATACGTAAGTATATAACATCTATATATATTGATTTGTCTTACAAAATATATCGTTTGAATATATCATTAGTTTTTGGAAATATTCAACTGTGGCAAAGTTGAAACATTTTTTAATATTAAAATAAGCTAAATAATTCAGATATAAAGTTATATAAGACATTATATTCATAAATTATGGAAAAATAATAAAAAAAATTATAAAAAAAATTGCTAAATATATAAAGATAATAAAATAATACAAAAAGATAGCAATCATATAGAAGTAACTTAAAAATTAAAAAAAAAATATTCAAAAAAGAGATACAAAAATCCAAAAAATGATAACTACAATAGATAAGTATTCAAAAAGTAAGTATCATAGAATTAAGTAAATTGTTAAAAAACGATTAAAAATAAAAAAAAGAAACTAGCAGCTAATACAGGTAAGTATGCAAATGGTAAGTATTTAAGGGGTAAGTACATAAAAGACCACAAAAATTTATATTTCTCAAAATACTACAAAAATTATGATCACCTACAAAATTATATTCTCATAATATAAAATCATAAAAATGACAAAAAATTACATTTGCCTAAGAAATTCCAAGAATTTGACGTTGTTTCTAAAACGATAAAAATTCTTGGAAAAACATCTCGAGAGACCTCCTACTATATTATGCGATTCTAATAAAAAATCGAAATTTGGCGAAAAGTTTCGATCTACTGTTCGAACACTTGGAAACTT